GTCCTGGGATCCAGCCCTGCATCGGGCTCCCTGCTCAGCACAGGAGTCTGCTTCTCCCTCTTCCTCTGTCCCTCCCCCTGCTCATTATCTCTCTCCCTCTCTCTCTCTCTAATAAATGAATAAAATCTTCAAACAATATAATAATACTAAATTTGAGAGTAAATGAAACAAATAAATCTAACCATATGTCAAATTAATAACACTTAATGGGACTTATCTCATGGGGTTGTCATGAGGAGCACATAGAAAAGCACTATTTCAAGTAGTTTTAGAACATAGTAGCTATATACACTTAGTGGGATATATTCCAAGGACAAAAGAGAACTGCAAGAAAATCTCAAACTTTGTCAAGTTAACTGTTAGTGGTAATGCTGATGTTATCAGCTTGAAATCATTTAATGAATATTATAATAAATAATTATGCTTATGTTGTTAGAAACCACGATGGTCAGTGTAAATATAAAATCAAACAGATTGAGTAAATAATTGGAAATTGAAGTATCTATATAAACATGACTTCTTAATTTTTATATGGAAATAATTTCAAAATTAAAGTTTTAAGAATAGTACAAAGAAAATCTTTTAACCCATTTCCTCAATTCATTTATTATTAATATTTCCCTCCATTTGCTTTATCATTTGCTCTATTTATCTATACACACATATAATTATTTTTCAGAAGCATGTACATAAATCATGGTTGAGTGTATATTTTTAAGAATAAGGATATTTGCTTTCACACAATTACCAACTTCAGTAAACTTAACACAGTTTCAATACTTCTATTTAATCTATGTGCCATACTCTTAAGTTGGTCAATTGACCCAATATTGTCCTTCATTGCAGTTTTTTCCCTCCAGCTTAGGATCCAGTCTAGAATCAGGAATTACAGTTAGAGGTTACAGCTCTTTGGTCTCCTTTAGTCTGAAACATTTTCTTTCTTTCTTTCTTTCTTTCTTTCTTTCTTTCTTTCTTTCTTTCTTTCTTTCTTTTTTTAAAGATTTCATTTATTTATTTGACAGAGAGAGAGCATGAGCAGTGGGAGGGCAGAGGGAGAGGGAGAAGCAGACTCCCCACTGAGCAGGGAGCCCATCCGCCCCACAGTGCTGAATCCCAGAACTCTGGGATCATGACCTGAGCTGAAGGCAGATGTTTAACCAACTGAGCTACCCAGCCTCCCCAGTCTGGAATATTTTCTCATTCTTTCTTTCTTTTATAAAAAATTGACTTTTGGGGAGAATTTTTAGAATAGAATATTCCTCATTTTGAATTTGTCTGATGTTCCTTATGATTAGATTGAGGTTGTACATTCCTAGCTAGCATACTATATAAGTGACTTTCTGTCCTTCCCAGAGTATCACATGGGTGGTATTAATTTTAATCACTTGATAAGGGTACTTTTGATTCATCTACTGTATCATCATCATTATCATCTCATGATTTTTTAAAAAACACATGTTTTAGCTCTGTCCACAGATAGGGTCTTGTCCCTAATGCCCCAGGGGCAATAACCACCCCTACAGCCCAAATTTAGGTCTCTAAATGCCATTCCCCAATAGAAGGTAACAGAAATTTTTGGAGAAATGGCTACCCCCAGGTCTAGAGTAGGGAATTTACAAGGTGAGCTGGGGTATCTTACTGTACCACAAAGCAAGGAAGTTCTCAAAATCTAAGTGAGACATGTCAAAAGACTTTGGAACCAGCTTGAAAGGGATCTTATAGGCCAAAGACAGAACAATCAGAGCACCAGAAAGAAAAAAAGAAATAACAATAATTGATTGGTGTGCATTGACTATACAAAAATCCATAAATCCATGATAATACACCATTCAAAGGACAAGGACGGTGGGCTCATTTGCTCCAAAGTGCCTTTGTGTCCCTGTCTGAACAGTTGAGCATATTTTGCTTAATCTGACAGAATTCAACTTTCTTTCTTTTTTTTTTAAAGATTTTATTTATTTGTTTGAGAGAGAGAGAGAGAACACAAGCAGGGTGAGGGGCAGGGGGAGAGGCAAGTTATCCTCTGAGCAGGAAGCCTGATGTGGGGCTCAATCTGGGGCCTCTGGGATCATGACCTGAGCCAAAGGCAGACGCTTAACCAACTGAGCCACCCAGGCGCCCCAGAACTCAATTTTCAAGATCCAGCTCAGATACCACTTTCTCTGAGAAGCCTTTCCTAACACCTCTGTGTTGTTCATTGTTTCTCCATATTTCAGCAGAGCTCATTGTATCTGCTTCTTCAAATACATGTACATACTGTACTGGAATTGCTTGTTTAACTGTATTTTTCTCTCTAGACTATAAGTAAATAAATACATTACCTGTCTGGGTTTTATTTATTTTGTTATTCCCACTGCCTACCACACATTTATAGACAATTTTATATATTATATAACCTTATGTGTTGTGAATGAAAGGACCAATTTCAAGATTATCCCTTGTTTCTTCTTCATCACACAATACAGATTTGTCTATATTTTAGAAAATGATCGAATGCAGTTAAATAGTTGGCTATTTAGTACACATGCCCAGTTTAGATTTTTAAAAAGATTTCTCCATCTATCATCCGTTGCTTTAGCCCTACATAGACTAGAAATATGCCCCACAGTCTTTTTCTGATTTTTATCCTTAGACAATAACTTCCTACACTATTTTTATTTACCCCAGTTTATTTTCTCCCACTAAAGATTTGTCTGCACACATAGATCTACTGATAATGTAGGGTGGGAAGTGTTAAAGTCAACTGTAACTGGTGGCCTGACCTATTTGTAATCTTTTTGAAGATAGTAGTTGGTGGTTTGAAATAATTTTTTTTAAAGATTTTTATTTATTTATTTGAGACAGAGAGAATGAGAGAGAGAGAGCACATGAGAGGGGGGAGGGTCAGAGGGAGAAGCAGGCTCCCTGCCGAGCAGGGAGCCCGATGCGGGACTCGATCCCAGGACTCCAGGATCATGACCTGAGCCGAAGGCAGTCGCTTAACCGACTGAGCCACCCAGGCGCCCTGAAATAATTTTTTTTAAATGTCAGTTTGGTACAACATCTGTAACACACCAGTGGTGACCTATGTAGTGTGATCTCCACTAGGTCGCCTGTGTCAAACCTCCCTCATGCAGTCGCTCACTATGTGTGGAATCTTTTATGTATGTGTGGATACATCCAGCCTTAGGTCTTTGTGGACTTGAAAGCATTAACAATTGAGATGCTAGATACGATGTAAAACATTTGTCAAAGTCATGTGCGAACACACTAAAATGCTTCAGGAAAGCCCCCCCTTAACACACAATGAAAGGATTCTCATTTAAGCCAGGGGCAGGTCAGCGTGGCCGCTTCATGCGGTTTGTGCTTGGGAGGAATCTCCCCGGCCTCCGCGTGGAGCAGGACCATGGTGCTGAGACGCAAGTGGAAAGCGCAGCTACCGGACCTGTGGAGAGATGTAAGGAGGGACCGGTCGCTGGCCGCGGTGCTGAACACGCTCTCAGGTTGTTCCCAAGATGCCCGGCCGGAAGAGGCCCCGCGGGTTGGTGAGATCGCTGACAGCCGCCAGTCTCAGATCTTAGGTTGTCGATTTCCTGGCTCCGGACAGGCGGACACATGGGTCGCGTTCAGGGGCGTCGCCTCGCAAGTGGCCTCGGACGCATTTCCACGGAGCACAGTTCCTGCCCCTCAACAGCCACCACAATAACAGTAATGCAGCCCATTTTTTTTAATTGAGATTCAACTGTGTCCCCGACACCTGACACCCACTCCCAGTGGTCCTCAAAACATCGTCGCAGTTTAAAATGAAAAGGTTGATGACCTTGCCCATGTGAACACAGCTACACAAAACTCAATGATGCCTCAAAAAAATGTTTCCTGCGCACCCTCCACGTGCCAGCCTCACAGCCTGTGCTCCTCCTTCTTTGCCTGCTACACGCTCCCACCAGGTCCCGTTACTTTTGCTCCTCCTTCCCCGCCCCCCACCCCAGGTTTGCAGAAGGCAAAGTAATCTCTTACACAACATATCCCTTACCACCGCCGACGTGAAGGACTGTACAAAGGGCTGGGATTCAGAACAGAGTTTATTCACACATCTTCCCCTTCACGCTCAGAAGTCCAAATCCGGAGGGAGCCCCAAGTTTAGTCCCTGAGCCCCCAACTCGCTGTGTGACCTTGGACAAGTGGTCACACGACTTTGAGCCTGTTTCTCTTGGTTAACACGACCATAGGTTCTAGAACTGCCTGAGGTTCTTGCCAGGTGCGCGCCGGTCTCTTCTCAGGTCGGAACACAAACACTAGGTCCTTCCCCCCCCGCCCACCCCCGCCTCGTCCTATCACCCTTTTGCAAGTCCAGTAGGGCACGCTCGGTTCTTCTCCCCACCAGGTCCGTTACCACCTCTTAGTCCTTTTTGAGGAAGAACTCGGGTCCTGGCCACTAAAGCGTTCTCCCCGCCACTCCCACCATCCCTGCCCCCACCCCCGGGCGTGACCTGCCCTTCTGGACCACACTAACCAGACAGCGCCCAAGGCTGGAAAGAGAGCTCCTTTCGCTCTCATTTCGCAGTGCGGGGTCTCCGAGGCCGCCGCGCGCCAGGACGCTTTAGGAACTGCGAGATGCGGCTGGAGCAAGAAGGCGCAAGCGAGGCAGGACTGGCGGGGCTGTCCCGGTGACAGGTACGCGACTACGGGCCAGCTAGGGGCTAGGTTTGGGGGAGATCGTGGGGAAAAACAGAGGTGCCAGAAAGACCGGTGGGTCACTCTGTCCTCACCACCAGTGCGTGCATGCGTGGGCGTGTGTGTGTCCCTCCCTTCCCCCCCTTTTCGCCCCAAGCTCTCAATCTCACTTTCTCCCTGAGCTTCTGCCTCTCACTTCCGTCTCTTTCATCTCCAAGCATCCTCCCTGCGAGCCAGCGCCGGCTCCTCGTTCGCACTCTCCCGCGCCTAAGGGGACCTCTGGGGCCAGCCGCGGCCAGCTTCTCAGCGCAGTCGCATCCCAGAGCCAGTTAAGCTGAGCCGGCAGCATGTGGAACGCGACGCCGAGCGAGGAGCCGGGGTACAACCTCACGCTGCCGGACCTGGGCTGGGACGCTCCCCGCGACAACGACTCTCTGACCGACGAGCTCCTGCCGCTCTTCCCCGCGCCACTGCTGGCCGGTGTCACCGCCACCTGCGTGGCACTCTTTGTGGTGGGCATCGCGGGCAACCTGCTCACCATGCTGGTGGTGTCGCGCTTCCGCGAGCTGCGCACCACCACCAACCTCTACTTGTCCAGCATGGCCTTCTCCGACCTACTCATCTTCCTCTGCATGCCCCTCGACCTAGTCCGCCTGTGGCAGTACCGGCCCTGGAACTTCGGCGACCTGCTCTGCAAACTCTTCCAGTTCGTCAGCGAGAGCTGTACCTACGCCACGGTGCTCACCATCACCGCGCTGAGCGTCGAGCGCTACTTCGCCATCTGCTTCCCGCTGCGGGCCAAGGTGGTAGTCACCAAGGGCCGGGTGAAGCTGGTCATCCTGGTCATCTGGGCCGTGGCCTTCTGCAGCGCCGGGCCCATCTTCGTGCTGGTCGGGGTCGAGCACGAGAACGGCACCGACCCTCGGGACACTAACGAGTGTCGCGCCACCGAGTTCGCCGTGCGCTCCGGACTGCTCACCGTCATGGTGTGGGTATCCAGCGTCTTCTTCTTCCTGCCGGTCTTCTGCCTCACTGTGCTCTACAGCCTCATCGGCAGGAAGCTGTGGCGAAGAAAGCGGGGCGAGGGGGCGGTGGGCGCCTCGCTAAGGGACCAGAACCACAAGCAAACCGTGAAAATGCTGGGTGGGTCTCAGTGCGCCCTCGAGCTCTCTCTCCCGGGTTCTCTCCTCTCCCCTTGCCTTCCCTCCTTTCCCCTTCTCCCTGAGCCTCTACCTCCTTCCCCTGTTTTTCTCGGTCTCTAGCTGCATGTCAATCAATGATTCTCTCCTGTTTCTGTCTTGAGCTCACTCTTTGGTTTCTTAGTTTCTCCGTGGTGTAGGTGTCTCTGTGTGTGTGTGTGTGTGTGCGTGTATTTTGTTTTTGCTCTTTCTTTCTTTATCTGTCTCCCCCCACCCCCCGCCCTACCTTATCACTGTCTTCACTCTCTACTTTGCTCTCTACCTCTTTGTGTCTCTTTCTTCTAATGTCTCCTTTTTCAGGGAACGATGCCCCTCCTTTGTATTTCCCTTAAATGAATTTTATCAGCCCAGAGACATTGCTTCAAAACTGGGATATTTCATAAAAGTCTACTGTGGTCTTTAAGTGTTAAAGGTGAGGTTTACCTTCCTGCCTCAATTTGTGGATATCTAAGTTGCATTTAAAAAGCATTCATGGGGTTGGGGGAAGAGTAGGCATTGGATCTAGAAAGTATTCCGTGGTGAATTTAACCAAAGATATGATCAGCGTGGATAATTCTGTCAGAGATGATTCATTTTTCTCTCAGTATTGTGGTATGCTTTCTGACCTGCATTTTTTCAGATAATTGCATCCATTCTGTTTACCCTGCTGCTGTTTATATAGCTTTGAAAGGGAGGCAATGATAAATCAGTGCTGGAGTCTCCATTTGCTTTCAAGACCACCTATTTCTGCCTGTAGGATAGTCTAGGATAAACCAGGATAAGCTAAGATAGGTAAGCTTCTCCCAACATGAGAAAAAAAGACTTTGTGTAAGCTGACAGGACTTACTATCCCTCTCTAAGTGGTCCTTCAAAGAACATCTTGGTGCAGTTTTATGACTGGAGTGTACTGCATATTTAATACATAAATTTAAGTATATGTGTTTGGTACAAGTAAAGTAATACAAAATGTGTTCACATCCAAGCAAAAATATTAATTCAATTTGCTTTTTCAAAACCAGAATCTGTACATTTTATTATTCCTCATTATAGTCCAACATTTTGTATTTATTTGCATATTTAGTGCTTCTTAGAAGTCGTTCCAGGTTGATTTTGTATTTGTCATTTTACAGTTCCTGGAATCCTGTATATTAAAACGATACTGTTTTTTCAAAGAACGTAAAAAAATTTTATTTTCTAGACCAGCGATTCTCAGAATATGACTAACAGATTGTAAACCTGCTAGTGCCCTCCAGGGGATTCTAATATTCATGTTGCTACCGTGGCAGTCAGTTGCTACTATGCAACTTCGTTTTGAGAAGAAGTTTAATAATTTTCTCCAATTTTATTTTTAAGCTATTAATTATCCTCACTGGTGTCTCAACACCAATGTTAATTTTCTTTTGCCTTGACCTCATGAAGGGAATCACTAAAGTGGTACAAGGACCGAAGTATTATTTTCTGTTATTTTTACCTTTGATTTCTGAATTTTGAAAATTTAATGTAGAAATTCAGAGGTCTTGGACAAAAATTATCTTACCTGGGTAAAATGAAGACTCGGATGGATGGTAATTAATGTTAGTGGGTTTTATGGTCTTTTATAACTTATTTATGTCTATCAGTAGGTGGCAAAGTATCATCCATCTCAGTGGTTCTCAATCCTGACTGCATATTCAGTCTTTCGTGAAACTTCAGAAAGAAAAAAGAAAAGAGAAAAGCAGGTGTGGTGTCCTGGTCTCCTTCCTAAAGATACAAATTTTGTGAGTCTGTATTACACACAAGGAATCTGTGCCCCCAGGAAACTCTGTTACATAGCTGTGGTTGAGTATAACCACTGTACTTCATATGTGCTTGTTTGTATCTAACACATGTGAAATGGTGGACTATTGTGAATAAATTGTTGAGTCAAAATGTCAGTTTGGTCCCCAAATCACTCAAATAGTCATTAAATAGAAATGATTGGGAAGTTCAACAAAAATGGTTGAACTGTTAGTCCAGACAGACCCAACCTTGGTTAAAAGTAGGAATAGGGAAAAGCAGAACATAATGTTTCTCTGAAGTCAATGGTGATACTATACATAATCGAAACAAAACTGTGTCTTCAAAATAGAATGTGACTTGCTGTGACATTTCCTGAGCTCACACTCTCTCTCCTGTTGTCCTTTTAGCTGTTGTGGTGTTTGCTTTCATCCTCTGCTGGCTGCCCTTCCACGTAGGGCGATATTTATTTTCCAAGTCCTTCGAACCTGGCTCCTTGGAGATTGCTCAGATCAGCCAATACTGCAACCTGGTATCCTTTGTCCTCTTCTACCTCAGCGCTGCCATCAATCCCATTCTGTACAACATCATGTCCAAGAAGTACCGGGTGGCAGTGTTCAAACTTCTGGGATTTGAACCCTTCTCCCAGAGGAAGCTCTCCACTCTGAAGGATGAGAGTTCTCGGGCCTGGACAGAATCTAGCATTAATACATGACCAACCACATCGCTGAGCAAAGTCATCGCTTATTCTAAACCAGAAGCCATAGCACAGCAGAACTTGGGAAGAAGTTGAAGGTTAATTTTGGAATTAAGAACACACAGCTCTGGAAACAATTGGGAGGAAAGAAAAGATAGAACTTGTAGTGTGTGAGCAGTTTGATTTGATTGCACACTCATCAGTGCCCTCACACTATTTCTGCATACTCGTTGTCTATGATTTTGCATTCTGCTGTTGGTGCTAGCAAGGATTTGCAATTTGGAGAAAGGAGGGTGTGCAGAGAGAGCAATTAGGGCACTTCTTACTAAGCAAATGCTAAATCTGACTTACTTTTTCATAATGATAAAAATTTTTGATTAAGAGAATGACATTGAAGTAAAGCATTCTAAAACATAACTTTTAAGTACTAGAAATTTTCATATAGCTCCAGATCAGTGCTGTCCAAGAGAAATGTAACGCAAGGTACTTAAGTAGTTAATATAAAACTTATTAATGAGAATTTTACATTCTTTTCTTTGTACAGAGTCTCTGAAATGTTCTTTACATTTGCAGCGCACCTTAATTTGGACATGAAGTTTTCACCAGTAATACTTGATGGATTTAGGTTTCATAAAATTTGCAGATGAAAAAGTAGATTCATAAGTCTAAGTTGTCCAAACACACCTAAAAGTTTCCCAATAACTAAAACTACTATAATTTTTAAATTTTTAAATGAATTAAAATAAAAAAATTCAGTTCTTCAAGTTGCGCAAGTCACCTTTCAAGTTGTTCAACAGCCAAATGTGGCTAATGGTTACTATAATGGACAGTGCAGCTCTAGAGTATATGTAAAATTATTTTTAATCTTATAAAAATATTTACAAATAAAACTCATTCCCTAAAATATTCTTTATAGTGAACTTAGTAGAATGTTAGTGCAATAAATCCTCAAAGTTACACCTAAATGTTCTAGTCTTCATGCTTGGAAGAAAACGGGTATGAAATACGAGTTTTTAAATTAGGTTGAATTACATGTGTTAATATTCAGGAAATGAGACTTTATAAAAATTATAGACAATCACAAACTGCCTTATTTGGCTTAATAAAAATACTTAAGCCAATCATAAGGTTTTGCTTTGTGAATAAAGGAATAATTGATAACTTACTCTGGAAAGCTTACAGGAACTTAGTGAATATAGACATTTTTCAAATGGTGAAAAATTCAGAATTCCTTATATGCTACTGCTTATTGATATGCAAAACTTTTAAAAATCTTATAGCCATTTATTTCAAAATGCCTATGCCATGCCCTGTCTCCAAATTAACTTTGCTATTTACATCCCACTGCTTATCTGATAGATATGTTTACTTGGATACCCAGTCTCACTCTGAATCATACTTACGAATGATTAGACACCTTCAACTAAATGTTGAACATTTTGGTCCTAAAACTAAAGTTTTCATTTGTATTGACATTGTTCCCCCCCATAGTCAACTCTTTGCATTATTAAATATATTATTCCAAAAATGATTTCTTCACAATCCTGTACAACATTAAGTCATATAAGGAATTCCTACATGAAGTTATTGGTTCAACAGAGGAACTGAATGGACCAGTTAGGTAAATTATTGCCATGATTGATTTTCTCCCCTACCAAAATAAAGATTATTATGCTGAAATAATTTACTATTTATCTTAGAAAAATGAAAAACATAATCATAATTAGAAAGATTTCTGGAGAAAAATATTTTTGAAATCCTTCCTGATACTAAGACTGCACTATCCAGTTAAGCTGAATTCAGAACTTTAGCAAATTGATTATTCAGTTAATTCTTGGGAGTGCATCAACATTTTAAAAAATACTCTCATTCATTTAAGCCTGTGAAATACTAATTAGGTCATTTGGCATCATTGTCCTAAATAGGGTCCAGCAAATCCCAAAGAGATAATTCACTTTCCTGAAATCTTAGAGTTTTTGTCTACGGTATATCCTACTTGAGAGAAAACAAGCAAAGAGGGCTTGATTTCCATCTCCATCACAGTTTACTGCTGTGGAGAAAACCAAACCTAACTTTTAATTAGTTGCCTACCTATTCAATGGTCTCCCCTTTCTTCTGAGTTCAGGTCTATAGTCTCAGCCTAATTCACTTACAGGGCATAGTTTACGTAGCAAGGACTACCAATGTCCTTTACTGGTGTTGATGAGAGAACTCAGAGATAATATTTAGAGATATGGATCTTGAATTTGCCCTATCATTGCCTTTTTATTATTTATAACATCTTTGTATCATCATAAATGTTTAAGACTCAGGGAAAAGAGGAACTTAGAGGAAAATTGTTTCTAAAAGTCCATCATTTCACAAACATTTACTATGTGCTTGGTACGTTCTAAGCTCTAGAGACTAATAAGCCAAGGATTTTATCCTTAATGAGCTCATGATCACTTCTGTGTTATGTTGCAGTAGGTAATTAATAAATACTTTAAGTTATGAAATAAACATCTCCATTTGACACTGGATTAAATGATGGTCCAGCATTTTAAGGGGCTATTCATCTCCCTGTATTGTTGTGTATTTGCCTCAAAATAAACTCAAAATGGGCTGTTCCTACACAAACCAGTCAAATCTCTAGATGTGATTAGTGTGTCTGCTCGCGGTAGACACTCACAGCTTGCTTTGTTAATGTGAGGAAAGTAAAGGAATTGGTTTCATTTGTAATTTATGTTTCCATTTTCCTGGTAAGATCAGCAATGAGGTATCTGTCACCACACCTGACACCAGGTCACAGAATCAAGGGTTGGGTCTTTTTCATTATACAAAGTGACTGTTATATGAGTAAGAACTTTTTAATAATTTCTTTAAAGAAAACATTCTTGCTATGAATCATTTAAAATCATAGTTTTGTGGCACTGACATTTAGAAACACTTCTAGTGACTGGTCAGACCTTGGGAACCATTTCTTTATAGTCAACTTTTTATTGCAGTGAAAGTCATAGCGATGGGATTAGACTTGAAACTCCAGCTTTTTCACTCTAATGCTTTTCTTAAGAGGCTGAAACCATTGCAATTTACAATTATTAGTTGACACTGGCAATTTTAGCTGTAATTTTTTGGTGTTTTTCATTTATTCATATACTTGAATTTAGTTTAAAAAAAATAATCTATGAGACTTTTTATAAGACCAGCGCCTGAAAAGACTCACTTGTCTTTTAAAAAACATTGTGTACGTCTTTAAAATGTGACATACATATGTACATACATCAAAGTTTCTTCTCACATTGTCTAATGGAGTAGAATAGAGCTTTCTGCTTTCAGAAATACCGTATCTACTGTAAATAATGTCGTTAAAGATAAAGATGTGTATCTAATGATCCTCTTATGATTTCTTTGCAATTTAAATTGCAACACTGGCCAGGATCTCTCCAGTTACAACTTAACTAGATGATTAGTAACCGATGTTAATTCAATGAATTGATAATACAATTTTTATCTAGAGAATGAGCTGCAAGTCAGATCAACAGAAAGCGATGTGCTGGTGGTAAATGAGGGCCACTTTCAGCTCATGTCACTTATTTATTCATATTAAATGAACTCAGTTATGTTAATTTTTGGCAGTAATTTAAATTTGAAACAGCTGAGGGAGAAAGTTTGCATAAGGCTTATTTTGGGTTTTTCCTTTTGAATGAAAACTCTTGCTGGGTGTTAGAAGCTAGCCATATTGGTTGGGAGAATTATCAGCCTTAAAAAAAAAAAAAAAAAAAAGCTGCCATGCTTATGTCCATCCCAGTTGCCTGGATATTTGCTGGAATTCCAATTACTATTTTATGCTATGATATAGTATACTCATTGCACAAGGGGCTACTGATTAACCCCAAAACTGGCAAATTCAGTGAAGCCCCCAGAAAACATGCTTCACATAACTGCTCAGAAGGTTCTGCCGAAATGTTTACAGATGTTCCTCCCAAAAGAAGTCTCCCGAAGCCCATCTTCTCCCCCTAGCCCCACAGAAAGTATATGGAGAGAACAGTTTGAAAGATTTTCTGTGATTTTTAACATCTCAAATCCAAACATTTCTCTGGCTCAAACCACAAAAACATTCATGGTTAACACTTGGAGCACTGCAGGTTTAGCATATTAGAGAGCACTTGCTCATATAAATACATCCAAACAGGGCGCCTGGGTGGCTTCAGCACAGGTCATGATCCTGGAGTCCCGGGATCGAGTCCCGCATCGGACTCCCTGCTCAGCAAGGAACCTGCTTCTCCCTCTGACCCTCCCCCCTCTCATGTGCTCTCTCTCATTCTCTCTCTCTCAAATAAATAAATAAAATCTTAAAAAAAAAAAAAAACATCCAACAGCATCGTCTCCTATTTCACTGACACCTGCTGTATTCTAGGTATTAGAGAACTTACAGCTTTGTTGATCTGTGTTTTACAATGTGTCATAAATGTCACTAATGATATTTTATTTGTGATTCTTTTTATTTAAGGTTTTTGTGAATGTTAAAGAGCTTATAGATGTCATGTCTTATGAAATTAGACACTGGTTTTCCTTCCTTTGGGTGTCCTAAACCAAACAATTGCTTAATAAATATATTTTTAAAGCCTATAGCAAATTTCTTCCACGTACAGTTATAAATTTCGGTGTCTGGGAGATCTCAGCTCCACTCTTCTCCCAGATTCAGTTCTATTTTGTCCTTTTAATTTCTGAAATATGTATTTTGCCACTGTGAGGAGGTGTTTGTTATAGTGAATTTTATTTCCCCAAGGGCGCCAATATTGAATAATGAGTTAAACAATTTTTAGAAGAAGTGGCTTCCATATTGAAAAAAGTCGAGGACCCTGCAATGGACTGTGACCCCCATGCCCTCTCCACCTCTCTTCCCTTACAACCTGTCACCCCCAGAGTCAATGGTGTTGCAGCCTGCAACATGGGACCCAAAGACCACGAGCTCTTTGAGTCAAAGGAAGAATTCCTATACATCTTATATGTTGTAGTCAGCCACTCACTGAATGTTAGTTGGATAAATGAAGGTTTAAAGACTGGATTATGTGTCACCTGGGCATTAGCTTCTAGACGTATGGATTCCA